TGGGGAAAAAACCCCCCCCGCCCCAGCCAGTGCCATCCCCTAAAGGCACAAGGGCTCAGACAAGTGGAAGTGCTCAGGAAAGGGAGGCAAAATCCAGGCAGAAATCCGTTTGGCTGGGTCGGACCCACAGGGATGTGCCCGGGCTGTGATCAGCGGGAGGGCGCGTGGCTGCGCCTCTGCCAGCGCGGCTCTGGGCTCGGGGAAACGGCACCCGGCTCTGCTCCCAACCAAACCTCCACCTGTCTCCCACCCATCCTCCCTGGGCCCCCGGCGTTCGAGGGAGAGGACTCGACCCAAATCCTTCACCGCCAGCGCACAGGGGATGGAGAAGAAAAGGAGATGGCAGATCTTTCGGCAGCACTTACCAAAGTGTGGAGGCTCCCTTCGTAGCTGGGAGATAAGGCACCCTGTCCGCTCGCTCGCGACCACTGCGACGTACGGGGGCGGTGTGGGGGACGGGCCCCGCCTGCCACTAGATGGGGCTGGCAGCGGGGCGACCACCATGGCATGCACGGCACCGCGTGGGCCACCATGGCACTGCATGGCACCACACAGGTCACCACGGCATGGCACGGTGGCACCACACGGGCCACCATGGCATGCATGGCACTGCATGGGACACCATGGCACCGCACGGGCCATCACGGCATCACATAGCACCACACAGGTCACCATGGCACTGCACGGGCCACCACAGCACTGCATGACACCACACAGGCCACCATTCTGTGCATGGCACTGCATGGGCCACCATGGCACCGCACTGCACCGTGCAGGCGGCCATGGCACCCCACAGCACTGCACAGGGCACCGTGGCACCACATGGCACTGCATGGGCCACCACGACACAGTATGGGACCACACAGGCCACCACGGCACTGCATGGGCCACCATGGCACCACATGGCACTGCATCGCACAGCACTGCACAGGCCATCAAGGCACCTCACGGGCCACCAGGGCACCGCATGGCACCGCACAGGACATCATGGCACCAAGTGGCACAAGAGGCTCACCTCTGC